AAAAAACACACGTGGGACATTTAGAAGGGCTGAACGCTGCCAAACTAAGACACGCACACGAAATTCCTGGAAAGTCTCGTGGAGACAGAGGCCACTTTGCAGAACTAGAAAAAGGTGAAAAGACAATTTCGAAACAAATCTAAGAAGCAGAAACTGAGGATACGAAATGGAGAGGCTTTTGTGACGAAAATGACGAACATTCACGTTCTGTAACAGGGAAAGTTATTAACAGCTGCATTGCTACTAGGGGGCAGTGCATTATTTAGTTGCACAGACTAAACCCATTACTCAGAAACAATTAATCGTCGGAGCGAGTTCAATCATTCGAACGGTTCCTGTTGTAGTACCGGGCATGCAACCCGGAGTTAACAGTTGAATGTAACACAATGTTTCGCCATTGTATTAAACGGCTCACAGCCTTCTATGGAACTGAAATAATGTTTTAAGTTTCTTCCCTATTTAGAACCATTTCACTAACCCGTTAGTCCATTGTGCAACCACAACAACCTGTTTACCGCAACACATCCGGAAAAAAGAAAATAATTAGTAGTTCCATGAAACTATTGCGGACAGAATTCAGGTCGAGGCCCACACACGCTTTGTGGTTTGGCAACTGCTGTGTGTTCGCATGTGGTCAAGACGTACATATTCACAGACCATGAACATGAATTTGCAAACAAAAGAAGAATATTAGCAGGAGGAAGGAAAATATCACAATCGTCACATAATATTATTTCGGTGATCGAACCAAGGCGTGTGATATGAGCTGACAGACACTGAACGGATGAGGAGATGAAAAATGCAACCAACATTTTAATCGAGAAATCTGAAGGAAAAGGACCACTTCGTATACCTTGACGTAGAAGGAAAAATAATATTAAATCAGATCTTAAATAAGTAATGTGTGAGGATGTCTCCATAAAATACTGAGATTTTCTGACCAGCTGAGCGACTATCAACTATCCACTTAAAACATATTCCATGTACTTAGAAAGTTGGTTGTTATGTACGCACAAACAACTTCCTATTTCGGAAAATGAAATCTGAAGACGGACAGAGGCTTAAATTGCTCCGACACATCGCAACTGTACACAGGATAGGATTTTGGGCCTATTCGCTCTCTCCTTTCAGTACCGAGTTACAACGTGACCACAGCGTTATTACACGTACAAGCTGACAGTTGCGTGTCGCAGTCCAATTGTTTGTAAAACACGAGTTTGTATTTCGAATACAAATCCTCTTCAGGTGCCCGTCATCTGAGCCTCAGAGTTCAGCAATGCCATGATCCTCTTTTAGAACTGACGACGTTTCTCGAAATCAATTGCGTAGTACAAAAGAGTTTATGCGTTTTTTGTATCTGAGATCGATGTTGAAACGTCAGGCCACTGAAAACTATCTGATGAGAGTACTGTAATTATATTAACACCGAAGTTCTTGATTGTGTAATGTACACTAATCCCACTAAATTTCTCTCCTTTCGACCTACATATTTCCTTCGTTACTTCGGTTATTACTCGCTGTCGACACAGCTTCTTAAATTGGTTTCCTTTCTAATACAAAGTTAATGGCCTACTTTGTGTTTTGAACTGCGGTAAGTGAGTTATGAAAACTTTCGTGAGGGGCAAAGCGACGAGTATCCCGAAGCAGTTTCACGACTGGAAACGTGCACTGTGCGACACGACGGCGGACGCAAAGGTCGGGCGATCTCCGAATGCATTATTCAGGACCTGACATGTTCAGATTCTGCACGGAATTGCCAGGCAACACTGCCGATACCAAATTACACGCATAATGCATTTATTCAATTCCAGTGATTGAATTTAAAATTGCTAAGCGCGCATTTTTAATTTCTTACTTCAACACAGAATTTCGAATAATATGGCTGTTATTTAAATGTTTTAACAATGTGGTGAATACTGTTTCCCTAATGTTACCATGAAATTTCCCTCAAAACGGAAACAGTATGTTTCTCCGAAACGCTGGTATAAGTTCACATGGCATTACAAACCAACAGAACACAAAATTTAAAAATACTGAACAGAATATCGCAATTATTACATCATATCAGAAATTCGGACGATGAATATCCTGGTATTACTCAGGGGTAAATAGCGAAAGCCGTGAACCTCATTTCAGAATAATCTTCGATCCGAACGCACAATCCAGCGTTCGAAGACCCAAGCCTTAGCAAAGCACTTTAAAGGGTCAACTGAGTCTAGAAGGAAAACAGAAGAAATTGCGTGCTCATGGGACTAAAACGTCAGTGGGCACCGCGGCAGGCAGTGTTTCAGTCACACGGGACTGCAGGCAAGTACAACAGAGAAGCATCCGAGGTGCAATGATGATGGATCATCAACACGTGCGGAGAATTCTCAGCGGATTGATCGCTGATCAGTCAACTGCACTGACCGAACATTGCCCCGTGTACACGTGTCCGCGAACACAAGCGGCAAGTTCCACTATCTTCACCGAGCGGGCCAGCGACACTCCTCACATTCGGTCAGTCGCTAAATGACGACCTGCTACGTTCCTCTGTCTCCGAATCACTCTTAAGATGTACTTGTCAGCCTCTCGACCCTTTCAATTTGGCAACCATCTCATAATCTGCTTGAAGGCAGAGGAAAACCAAGGAAACTTGTGTTTCAAGCGGAAGCTCGTATAAATATTTAAGAATCCAGTCCGTACCGCAAAGAAAACACAACTCTTCACCATTACAAAGATCAATTGGTTAACGCTGTTTAAGGAAGTCATCGCTGTTTACAGTGAGAATCATAGTTCGTCTAAATTACATTTAAGAATTCAGTCCGTACCGCGAAGAAAACACTACACTTCACCATTACAAAGATCGAATGGTTAACGCTGTTTAAGGAAATAACAGCTGTTTATTGTAATAGCAATATCGTACACAAACACATTGTCCGAAACACGCAGAGTTATTGAATTTTAAAGCAGATGGAACACCATTGGGATTTTTGAAACGACAAGCGACTGAATTGTCAGTAAAAATGGGCTACAAGTTTAAATACTATGCCTAACAAGTATTGGAAATTGTGCGGATTCCTAAACACGTTCCAATCCCAGAAGCAGCCTGCGGTGAATCATGTTACGAGTAGCTATTAGTCACTGTTACTCCGAACTCTAAATTATAAATATCATTCAGCATATTAAAATATTACATTCGCTTTTATAACACGCGTAAATGTAAACCTGATTACTACTCAAAGTACTTAATAAATCCTCAAAAATCGTAAATTGTTGCGTGAATAAAGTCAACAACTTTCAAATTAATTATCAATTCAGAGAAATGCAATTATTAAAATAAAGCTCCTACACCTTACTAATGATACTCGTCGTGTTTGTCTGCAAAGCTCTTTATTAAAAGCACTGAAAAGTGGAAAGAGAAATACCGAATTAGTACCAATAAATATGCGAGGATACTGGACAGTTCCTTAATGAACAAACTGTGTAAAATATACGCGCAAAACTGATTGAATTTTTTAAAATGCGCGCGAAGCTTTAAGCACGAATCTCGTCCAAACAATACTCAAAATCCTATTTTTATCTAAAACCAAAACCAAAAAAACGCGTAATAAGTAGGATCTGAGGAGAGTCCGAAGATGACCTTCTGGGTTGTAGCACCGCGTAATCTGGTAGAAGTCTACCAACGTTTCAGAGGTTCTTGGTGCCTCCGTCATCAGGGCGATGAATAAGGTAGCACGTGTTGTTGACAAACAACTAAATCCCTTGTTCCGTCGGCTTCTTATTAAATACGCCCCTCGATCGCCGCGAGGAAGTTAACGCAGCGACAGAGCGCAGTTCGACACGAAGCACTCAGGAGCTGACAACGGACAGACGTGAGTACTCTCTTATTTTCAGTTACTTATTAGATCTTCCCCGTAACGATTATTGAATGAAACATTCCTAACATTTATTTACTAAAAAATTAAAAAGAAACCTTCCTCAGAAAGCTAATCGGTGGTAGGAGGTCTATTATTTTATCACACATACACTAGGTCAAACATTTCTCGAAGAAGGAAAAGGTTTTAAACTCATACACGATATTAGATATATTCCGTGCCTTTAGAAAATTCGTTCAAGCTGGATGCGAATTTTGCATATATTACGGGTTAAAATAGGCCAAAAAATTTTAATATAACAACCCCGTTGCTTGGTAATGGACGGACATGCGTCTAGGGTCACTACCTTCATTTATTTGTTCTAAACTTCGCTGCATTTTAAAAAGTCTTAGTAAGTCACAACGCTCGCATTCGGGCAATTGGAACTGGCAGACCGAGCTATTCCCAAGTCGCTTGTTCCAGTTACTGGATTTTCTGGCCGATATATAAGTTAGGATGAATTTTATCCTCGAAAGGTAATTTGATAACATGAAGATGTCTGTCCCCTGGTGCTGTGTAGTCTTATAGAAGTTTGCCAACGTTTCTGAGGGCGATTTCCCTGATGATGGAGGCAGCAAGGGCCCCTGAAATATTGGTAAAGTTCCAGAAAAACCTACATACCCACTGCCATGAGAACCCCAAATCCTACCCAACACAGCAACTTGATTGTTAAAATCGCAAAAGTGTCTTGAACCCGAGTAGAGGTTTCGGAAGAATAAGAGTGTACATCTCTGCCTCAGATAAAGCTGCAAAATCAGCTGATGCACTCGTAGGTCAGAAGTTCCTAACCGAGAAAATAACCGCGGACGTCGTCAAAATGCGATCAGTTTGTAGTTGTCGGATTTGACTGAATTCTTAGCAAAACTTTGGCAAGATTTAGTAGTTGCGGCTGCATGTTGCGATCGGGGGAAGCAGGTACATTTTTTTTTATTGGTATCAATGGCTTTCTGAGTCAATGATGACAAAATGGAACTTAAGAACACAGACTGTAATATATTTTTTTATTTATTTATTTTTACATACAATTTGCCATCGAAAAGGCAATGATAATATAATAATACGGTGAGTTTGTAACATAACTGGTACACTTCGTTGCAGCCAAAAGCCATAGAGTGCAGAGCTGTGTAAATTTTAAAAAAGGTTTTAATGCAAGTATATAAATATTAATTTATAGTCCTGTAATGTAATTATGTGTTTTATAACAAGTACGTCCATCTACGTATTAAAAATCCGATACCCGCGTCGTTCTAACCCACAACGTAACTTAATAAGCTCGCAACAACAAACGTTAAATTGAATTATTGCACAAACATCAATGCAAATAGTTCCACTTGGAATGTTTCCAGCGCTTCAAGGTTGGCAAACCACTTCATTTTTCATCGCGATTATATTGACCAGATGATGTCGAAGAAATAGAAAAAATGCCAACCGATAAACTCGTGTGGATGGCACGACAAACAACACGAAACAATCAAGAAATTACTCTCGTCTTATGAAACCCGAAGGTCTGCAGCTCACCAGAGCCATCTGAACTCGGAACACACACTGCCACCCAACTTCCTTGCAGCCTTTTTAATATTATCCTTTCATCTATGCCTACGATACCGACTTCCGTGATTGGACTACAGTTTATAGTACAGAAACAAGCAATTTCGTTTCGGGTCGGAACGAATAGCCCTTGAAGAGGTGCAAAGGGTTTTTATTTTTCCTTTCAGGTTCTCACTGTTCCTCCGTATACTGAAACAAGTTGATCAATGTTTCACAAGTAGTTGCTGCATCCTTCATCAGGGCGCCCTGATTATGGAGGCTTCTGAAACGTCGGCAAACTTCAGAGCAGAAATCCAGAATACGGAAGTGTTCAAAACTGCACTCTTTAGTCGTCAAAGCATTCTTTACAGCTGTTACGTAAGCGATGTTACGAAACTGACCTTAACATACGCAGGGAAAGCAAAATACTAGGAACGTCAGTGGCAAGGACACGTGTGGAGATAAACAGATGCTTTGTTCAACCTGTCGGCAGGCTAGGTCACATCTGAATATTAAAACAAACCTTCGCGATACTGCCCCTTACATGCCGAATTTGATTTGTTACAAAAGATAGTATAATTGCGTCATATTGTGAATCAAATATTAAATTAATTATTCGGTTTTGTCCGTCTAATCACAATTACATTTAAAATTTACAAATAAGATAATTAAAATATCATTTTATGTTCTTATTTGTAAATTTTAAATATAATTGTGATTAGACGGACAAAATCGAATAATTAATTTGTTACAAAACATTAGCCAAATAAATGCGTGTCCCGATTCCTCTAACCAGTTGAAGGGACACTTTGCGTCTTGCCATGGAAGTGTTGGTGTTAAGGGAATGACTTTTTAAGAAAACCCAGCAGGAAAGGTAAATACATTCCACGAGATGGCAGACGGTTTAAGATGGCCGTGGTCTTTAACACGACTGATCAATGAACGACTTGGAGTATCCCGGCTTCAACAGCCCCTGACACAAGCAACGCCAAGCACTCCTAGTTGTTGACAGGAATCAACAGGTTAAGACCCTCAGCCATTTAGTTGTCAGGTCCCACCACCGACAATCAATAATTAATCCGGCACGGGGTGACAGGTTATGTTCCTCCAGAACACGTCGCATCCTGTGACGTGCGGGGAACGTCATCCCAGCGTCGGACTGCGGAATGGGGGAGCGTATGATACGAGACCGAACACCGCACGTGCAAATCTAAAGTTTTCGTTCCCCGTTAAAGGGTAATGAGTCGAACTGCATAAAATGATTACGCTGGCACAAACACGAAGAGGTACAAAAGTCTTCCGGCCTCTCAAAATTCAATAGCGAACGCCGGTTGTGACTCCGTGTGTTCTGTCCTGAACATGGAAGCGACACGTTGGTAACCACAGCCATGACACGTGAACGAATAACCACAGTAGCCACCACAAGCTTCGACAAATCGAGATTTCAGGTTCAAATCCTGAATGTCATATATTTGATTTGATTTCCTTCTGTGCCCGGGTTCTCGTTTTGCTACGGTCGAATTTGCATGTGAGTCAATTATCACATAATTTTGTTTCCATAGTTGCTACAATGCATCGTTGGAACGGCCGTGTTGCCATGGTGACGGGAGCCAGTGCAGGTATCGGCGCTGCGGTCGCCAAGGATCTGGTGAGACACGGTTTGAAGGTGGTTGCAATCGCCCGCAGGGTCGAGAGGGTCAAGGTATGGGGTCACGACTTGATTTCACTCTTTACGAAGTTTTGAAATAAGGAGATACAGGATCGTAGCTAGGCATAAACTGCATTTTCTAGACAGCACAGCTGTGAAGCGAACTTGTGCGGAATGGGTCGGCTCGACTTGACGGGAGAAGCGTCCGACTCTTCCGCCAAAGTCCGCGGTCGCAAATGACAACACTCTGTATAAACCACAACCGTTATTGCACAGGCGCTGAAATCAGACTTGGGCGACTTAAGTGGCTCACTGTACCCGCTCAAAGCTGACGTCTCGAAGGAGGACGAGGTGCTTGCGGCCTTCGCGTGGGTAAAGGACAATCTCGGCGGAGTAGACATACTGATCAACAACGCGGGGATAACTGGAAACAGCACTCTCCACGGTAAGACTCGACTCACGGCAGCTTTTTCTCCACATTTACCACAAGTGGGATACCAGTCGCACATCAAGTATCGGGAGATGAGCCCTGTCTCTTATAAGTGATTTGCGTTACTAATCATAACGAGAGCTTCAGTTGGATCTCCGTTATCTAACAAAAGCCCTCGTCCGTCGATAAATGACGTGGCGGTATTCATTGCAGAGGGCCCGGTGTCTAAGTGGCGATCTGTCTTGGACCTCAACGTACTGGGTCTGAGCCTCTGCACCAAGGAAGCACTGCAGTCGATGCAAGAACGCGGAGTGGATGACGGACACATCGTGCATATCAGCAGGTAGCGGACATTTCCATCAATTAATACTTAAAATCCATTTATAAATTGCATAAACCATAATAAAAGATGCTGTGGTACATGAGTGGCATTGTACCGTCGTAATTTTGCCATCATTTTAAAAAGAACGATCCGTATGTTCATATGCGTCAAACTCCCGTTAGAAAAGCGATGGTTGTAAATTTACTTACAACAGAGAAGCCAGTTTACGTATTTGTATTACTGTTTTCAAGGACAAGTCTCCATTCCATCATGAACAAACTTCGTATCCGTGTACCCCAGAGATTTTTCCACCTTCATTGCATAAATTTTCGGTCCTTCAGCCAGGTGCTCCACAGCTGGAAATGGCGTATGCAGATTTCTGAACTTTTCTCATTAAACTCCTGTCCCTTGAGGACATTTATTCTGTAATGGGCAGTGTTTAGTTTGATTAGTTTAGTTTTGTTTAAATTTGCTGTTATTGTGTTTGTTTCTTAGTGTCTGCCTGCCTGCAATTATTTCCTTAAACAGCGTTAACCATTCGATCTTCGTAATGGTGAAGTGTAGTGTTTTCTTCGCGGTACGGACTGAATTCTTAAATGTAATTTAGACGAGCTTCGGCTTCAAGGGGCTAATGAAGAAATAAAACTGTATTTCATTTAATTAAATTGTATATGTCATTACTGGAGAATTCTAAAATGTAATATTAAAACTAACAGTGATAGTTTATAGTGCACATTTAACCCTAGAAATGTGCGTTTCCTTGCGCTAATGACGTGAATCCCAAAGTGGTCATGATGCAGTGTAAGAGTGTTGTATGTCGTTGTGTCTTAGTATCAACGGACATGGAGTCCCGGAGCACAGCCTGCAGTACGGCCTGATGATGTATTCAGCAACTAAGAACGCGGTCCAAGTTCTCACCGAGGGCCTGAGACGCGAACTGGCGCAGCGGAACTCCAAGATCAAAGTCACGGTAACAAGGACTTTCATTTAAAAACTACGCGGGTCCTAACAGCTTTATAAGTTGAAGGCTGTCTAACTAAAATGATTTTCTTTTCTGTAGCTGTACAAACACGGCTCAGCCTCTCATGGTGACTCATGTAATTATTCCAGAGACATTTGGAATGACAGTTGAGTAATTACGTCAGAATCACATTCCGTAATATTAATACTAATTACAAGTGCATTATATTGTCGCTTATCTTGCAGTCCATAAGTCCAGGAATGGTTAAAACAGAAATCTTGATCGCGTCCGGATACGACTTAATTCCTCCCGGGATGACGATTGATCAAGCGTACGACACCATCCCCCACCTCAAGTGCGAGGACATATGCGACGCCATCACTTACGCCCTGGGCACTCCACCCCATGTACAGGTACAACTCATCACATCCTACCTTGTCAGTTTATATTGATAAAAGTCTAGTCTACGGAGTGAGAAGTATGTCCTCAATGGAAATTTGTTACTCAGATTGAATACAATCCTTTAATTGTCTCCACCCATGACAAAATCCGTCCCTCCGTCCTATCCCGTCACTCCAAAGCGGCGCGTCGTACAGAGAATAGCAAAACAACCCTTGGAGATGTTTTATTCAAGAAATACAGACACGAGGGTATCCAAACATTACACAATGGCGCGTTGCAGAATAAAAAAGAGATATTACTAGAATGTACATGTAAGTAAATGGAATATTTAAAATAAAAATGTGAGAAGAGTACATGAAATAAGTCTGCTGGTATGCGTAATTCTAATGTAACATCAGCAAACTTAATCTCAAAGTTCGTGAACAGCTTTGGCAAACAAATCTGATACGAAACTTCAACCACTGGCCCCATCAAACACTTCAGCATTCTGCGTTCATCAGTGAATTTCAATCCGTACAATTACACAACTTTCGCATTCCGCTACTCCACTCACAACCTTAATAAAATAATAAAGTTTTATAGTATTGCTGATAGATGTCACATGCAAACAAAACTTTATTCAAAACTTAACAAAACGATGCCTCCTCGTGTGTGTGTTTACGCCTCCTACTAATCAGCAGACTTAAAGCATGCTCTACAGTTTAATCTTGAATTCAACTGCCTCTCTTAACATGCTTTCAACAAACTGTGTGTGATGTGTGACGAACTCGTGCTGCCAACTATACTGAACACGTAACGTTCGAAACAAGGGTAATTAATTATCGTCTGTTTGTTACAGATCCACGATCTAATTATCAAGCCGGTTGGGGAACCAATGTGATCGCCCTACGTCACGGCGAGCGACAGCATGTACGCGACATTACCGACTGCAGACGCATCGGACGTCCGAGTACCGACATAAGCCACTCTTCCTATCGTCTTTCGCGCCTTCTTCAAGGTCTTACACCGACTGTGAATATTAAAGTTAAACTATTGGAAAAGTGTACTCTGATGAAGAATGTATTCAAATAAAGACCCGCCAAGGCACAAGGTTCTATTGCAGAGATCGTCTGGAAAACCATGAAACATCTGTTTAGTGGCCGAACCTCTAACCTGCATCCACCTGTCACAGGCCTGGCCAGCACCTCGGCTGCCAGGTTAACGAGTGCAGACACTCCACGTCTGTTATTACAGACGCACAATCCTGTCAAACTGCCGGACCGCAAATGCTCACGTTAACCAAAGACAGTGGAATGCATGCGGCAGGCGTTCTTTACTCCCTAGTGTTACAGTTTCATCTGATTCGTCAACGGGCTACTGTAAGTTAGTGTTTGTGTAACACTGACACAAAATTGTTTTAACAGGCGTTTCAAAAGCGAATGCGTAAACGGTTTGTGCGTCGCGCGTTTAAGCCCTGGATTTGCTAACCATCGCTTATTAAAACTTCATACGAAACTCTGACTCCATGAAGCACAGCCTTTCTTAACAAGCTGATACTCCGTCAGTTGGTCCAGAAAGTCCCTTCTTTTGTGCAACTCGAAGGCACATTACCGTGTTCACAAAAGCCCGCCACCAATCCATATTCTGAGCCAGCTGAATCCACTCAGCACCCTTCAGCCTATTTACTTACGTTTCATTTTAACAGGTTTTCCAGCGTGAGACACTCTCACTAATGCAGTGACAAAACACGAATGTCGGCACTTGAAGCGCTAAACTGACTTTAATCTTTATTTTCGACAAATGTGTACCTGAATCTTAAATTACAACTAAGATCAGAAGTAAACTGCGAGCTCAGCTAATCAAGAAATTCCCCGCCTTTTATAGAACCGGGAATACCTACCACAGATATATCCAATTCACACCCCCCCAAAACATCCACCTGAGTTCCACTTTAATATTATTCTCCCATCTACGTCTAAGCCTACAGCATGGTCTCCTTACAACAGGCTTCCCAATCAAAATTTTGTATGAAGTTATATTCTCCCCCATGCGTGCTGCATACCCCGGCCACTCTCCTTGATGTGATCACAGTAGCATCTGGTGAAAATCATAAATGATACAGTTCCTCATTCTGTATTCCTCTCCAACCTCCTGTCACTTCATCTCTCTTCCTCCCAATTATTCTCCACAGAACCCTGTCCTCAAAGACCCTCAGTCTACGTCCCCTCTTGAACGTGACAGACCGAATTATGATAATTTAAAAGACGCAATAACAGTACGTGGGACCAGGTAACATCCAGCATTTTTCCTGAAACCACTGACCAAAAACACTTAAAGTCTAAGACAGAGTAGCCGGTCATTGAATCGGGATTCGAATCGGCACTCTCGAACACGAAGGAGTGGACCCTCCGATCTGATTACGTTCTGACAGCAAGAGACGTCACACATTAATGATGGTCGATGATTGATTCGACGTGGATACAGAAGCAACGAACGAAACAGCCTCTGCCTGAAGATTCCGAACCCCTGCCTTCTGCCTGCACGGTTTGAAAATTAATTCGTTCCGCTCCAGTAAGTAAACGATCGTTGTCAATTAAAAGTTCAAGGCGGCGATGAGAACCCCTCACGGAGCGAGGCAGAGCCTTTGAAGCTGCCGGACGCACGTGTCTGCGTTTGGACACAGAACGGAATGACACTCGATTAAAAACGAGAGAGAAAAAACTCTCTTTAAAAGCAACGCAATTCCAACTTTGTCATCGACTGCTGTGTCAAATCGGAGAGTACAGCCGAAAAACTGAAACCGGGTTAAGTAGACTGAACTAAAACCAAGTAGCTCCACCGACCAGAGCACGTTGAGATGCTGACAGTGGCCTAAGCGGAGCATTTTTAACCCTAGGGCCCACTGACGTGCACACTACCTTAGCCAGATAAATCAAATCCACGACTTCCTAAACTACTTGCCGAATATACTGTTTCATCATCATCTTTCCATCTACGCCTGTCTTCCAAGTGGTCTCTCCTATAACCCAAGCGGTTAACATAGAGTACCTCAGGACAGGTCATTAGGAGACAAGGGACGAGCAGAGGACAGATGGGTTAGGTATGTTGAATGAAATGTTAGACTTACTACAGGCTTGCGGGATGAATCACTCCCGCCGGCCGCATCCGGCCAGCACTTTGGATTCCCCTACGCCTTTAACAATACGCACAACTTCTGAAGTGAGATGAATATTCTCACGTGCCCAGTGCTACGTATCTGTACAAAGACAGGTTTCCAGTTACGATGGACACAGCAGCTGAACAAAACATAATCTGAATAAGAACGTCACGTCGGATTTTGTCTCGATTCTTGGGCAGATTTCAGGTAGGAATGCAAATAACCCATTGCGCTAACATGCACACAAGCCGAATGCACATGTTCGCAAACACGAGGGCATCGGGCAACGTCCGTCACTATCTTACCTGCTGCCATCAACTGCCAACCAGGCGCGCATCTCTCTTATGAAGAAGTTTCTGGGACAACTGAATTACCCTCCTGACAGCCGACATGTGTAAGACCTACTATTTAGACCATCGTAGTCGTCAACGACAGACAGACACGGCGCTCCCGAACCGTACAAAGGGTCTCCATGACAACGATCATATGATTAATGCTGTTCAGGGAAATAATTTGGGTCTTTGCGGAGGAATCCTAGTCTTTGAAGTGTGTATTTGTAGGTAGTGAGCGACCAGCCCACTTCCTCTGTCCACCGAGGGTCGTATAATACACATATCAACGTACAATTAACGACATAACTGCAAAGTAAAAACACAAACCTTAATAGGTCTTTAGTAAACAAATACATAACATGTAAGGCACATAATTTCCAAACTATTCGCAAAATTTACATCCTAATGGATACAACCATAATGACTCACTAATTAGCTTGCTCATTGGGACACATTCCACCAGCATATACAATTTGCATTCTTGTTTCAGATAAATGAAATTAATCACATTTATGAATATCATATAACTTTAAGGTTATCTCAGCCACAATTGAGCAACTGACCCCAATCCAACTTCGCATTAAGGATCGCCTCTTTATCAACAAGTCGTGACCAAAGATCAGGTTCTACCTGCAAACCAGGGTACAACTGACAGAGATGTTTCATGCCCACACCCGGCTCCCCAAACACACTGAACTCTGACAGGTTCACACAGTGTTCAGAGAGAATCCCAATAGTCCCTGGGGACACACATCCTGACAGGGTCCCTATGCTCAGGCTCTGCAAGCGTTGAAGTCGGTTCCGCTCCAGCACACTGGCGACATGATGTTCGTAGAACTCCTGAACGGTGCAGAGCTGAAGTGTCGTCAGACTGTGGCAACGAGACAACAAGCATGCGACGGCGGATGGCTCGCGAGTCTGCAAAACGAGGTGTCGAAGGCTGGGGAAGCTTCCGCAGTTCTCACATTTGTACGTCCGTTCCATGAGTACAAGCTTCACAAGACTAGGACAGTTCTCACATATGACTGCCACGTCCAGGTTCCCACTGTTCTCCAGTTCCAACTCTAACAGCTGACAACCTATCGTCCGGAGGAGATCATTGACGTCAGAGAAGAAACAGTACTTAAGTCTGAGAACTCGCAGATATTCCAGGTGTTTTAAAGTAGACACCGTGGAACTTAAGTCGCACATTCTTAAACTGACTTCTCTGACATTCACTAAGCCTGTCACTAAAGTTCTCAACTGTGTGTCAGAGTAGCAGTCACACCCGATATTTTTAATGTAACGTGGCTGTCGTATACACACCGCCCTCTGAGCCAACCCATTAATCAGTTCGACGTATCCTTTCTCAGACACTTCTGTGCAGATCAAATTGAGCTCTTCCAAACAAACGAGCCCAAGGAAAGACTGGACGCTATCATCTGTCACACCGTGGGAGCCAGATACATCTAGGCATTTCAAATACCTGCTGGATCGACATAAAATTTTCAGTATATCATCAGTACAGTTAATCCTGTAGGAGAATTTCTCCAGGTAAGGGAATGCATGCATGTATCTCTTCACATCTCCAAGCCACGTTTCGTTTTCGGTGCAAGAGGTAATTCTGAGTCTCTTCAGATTTCCCATGGTCCACATCCTGCTCACCACAAACGACGATATTCTTCTGTAGGTAACATCCAGCTCCGTTAGATCGGAGTGCAAACTAGCATACACCAGTTTCTGAAGGATTCTCTCGCACGGTGCAGAGCCACTACGATGAGAGCTGTCACTCATGTCCAGGTTATTCAGCAGTTCAGATGTCACTCTATTGACCAATTTTCGGACAACGGCGACTTGAAGCACGTGTCGTAGTCGCTTGCACACCTCTTCAGCCTGACAGAGGCCTAAGGAAGAATCTTCACCTTGGGGATCATTGGTGTGGCAAAATACTGTTTTACACCACCTGAATAACAGCGAGTAATAAGGCCTGTCCTTCGCAGACACTGTCGACTTCACAAGTCGTGTAGACAGTTCTGTCACGTAATTTCCAACCGCATCCAGCGACAGTCTTTCTAACCTCACAGGATTATTATATAGAGGCATGATATGATAACAGTTGTAATTCCGAACTCATTACTGCCATATACGTACGAAAAACAAATTATGTGTTTATCAAGCCAACTGTGAAAATTTCCAACATAATTAATTATCGTATTTGGATCAAAACATATTATATTTTCTTAGTCTTAACACGGCTACAACTCATACACAAGGATAAAACAGCGATTTGTGAATCCACGTACGAGTAATGTGGTATATACGACACGCAAAGATTCACAAGGACCGAGAGTCTGTCTACACACGAAGTTCCACAGCGAGTCTGGCTATCTTCAATTAACGAAACTCTTGTCATAATTCAACATTGTAAACAAGTTTAAGAAGAGGTTTATATCTGTTGCTCAGACATCTGGTACCGGAAACACAGGTACGGTTTATGGTACTGCAAGACTGCGATAGTACCTGGAAAGTTGGAGTCGAGTCGAACACAGTGAATCGTCCAAAAAATGAAGTATCAAACAACTCAACAACAAACAATACTTCTTAAGCAACTTGTTACGTGTGAATGTGTAATGACTAAGCCACTACGAATTACTGA